TATCAACTATTGTAAAAAGAATTTTCATTTTTGTTGACAATTTCTATGTAAAACAAAGTCAAACGAATATGATAATTTTTTTATAATTGTTTAATTTTTTTTTTTTTTTTTACGTTTTGGTAATTAGAATAAATTATAGACGTATTGGTAGAAAAATTATCACTTTAATGGACAATTTTTATAAAAAAAATGAAGTCAAACGGACACCAAACTTTCAACATTTTCCAGGTAGAAAATTATATCAATCAAACACAATTAATTACAATTCCTAGGAAAACATTTTCTAGAAAAAAAATTTCCCTATAAAACATTTTATTTCCATCCATTTTTCACCCTTACAATCAAATGGACCTTTATTGATTTGATGAAAAATATTATTTTATTGAATAATGTGTGGTTAAAAATGAGTAGAAAAATGAGAATGAAAATTTTAATGTGTGTCAAACGGGTGCTTAGCCCTTGTTTGCCCCCCATTATATCTCATTACATTACATTAAATTTTTCTCTATCTTCATTTTAACCATACATTCATCAAATAAAATAATAATACACACAAATCTAAAACTTTTCAACCACACATCTCCCATCAATCACTATTCTAAAAATTTTCAACCCCCTAAAAATCTACAATAATGGGGGCCAAACAGGGGCTAAATTTTAATTCTACAAAATTACCACATTCTATTACTTTTTAAATTAAATTTGTCACTTTTCTGAGTATTTGTCATTTCTTTAAATAATATCTCATTACATTACATTAAATTTTTCTCTCTCTTCATCTCAACCATACATTCATCAAATAAAATAATAATACACACAAATCTAAAACTTTTCAACCACACATCTCCCATCAATCACTATTCTAAAAATTTTCAACCCCCTAAAAATCTACAATAATGGGGGCCAAACAGGGACTTAATTTGGAATTGGGTTCTTTGGATCAAACAAAGCAGGTGCCATTCACGTGATGCTTGTGGCGGACACATCATGTCAGCATATATACCCCCATTATTTTCCTGGCGTACACGTGTACGTCCACACGCCACTCTCTCTTAGCTCCTCAATGCCTCTCCATGACACGTGTCCCTAATCGGTGACACGAACAACACATTTACTGAACCAATGACAGTATATAATCAGCTCCACGCCTCCACCTCTAACTGTCCACCGCCAAATTCAAATCACAATAGGAAACTCACAATTTTCTACGATGACAAACCCTAGGGTTTTCTTCGAAATGACAATCGGCGGCCAACCTGCTGGCCGCATCGTGATTGAACTGTTCGCTGACACCACACCGCGCACTGCCGAGAACTTCCGTGCACTCTGCACCGGAGAAAAAGGCATCGGCCGTAGCGGCAAGCCTTTGCACTACAAAGGCTCAATCTTCCACCGCGTCATCCCTGAATTCATGTGCCAGGGCGGAGACTTCACCGCCGGAAACGGCACAGGCGGTGAATCAATCTACGGGCCGAAATTCGCTGACGAGAATTTCGCAAAGAAGCATACCGGTCCAGGTATTCTTTCGATGGCGAACTCCGGGCCGAACACGAACGGTTCCCAATTTTTCATCTGTACGGACAAGACTGAGTGGCTGGACGGCAAACACGTGGTGTTTGGGGAGGTGGTTGAGGGTATGGATGTGGTAAGGGCCATTGAGAAGGTTGGGTCTGATTCTGGAACGACATCCCGGTCCGTTGTGATTGCAAATTGTGGCCAACTTTCTTAAATATTATATGTTTCATTAAGCGTAATGTATCACTAGCCACAGCAAGAGCATGTGTGGCATAACTTCAAAATTATTAATAAATAATCCTATTACTCATACCTCTTCAATGATAGTGTAAAATTGGATGTAAATTGATATTTTCAACATTATTTTTGTATCCTCTTTTATATTTCGATGGATCTAATTTCAAATTCTACTCTAATGAAAAAGATTTAAATTCATTTTTTGATCTTAAAAAAAAGAATCTTCAAATTTATGTCTTTATATATTTGAAAAAGGTCATTTTTACCTTCGCGGCCGCAGCTACCACCAAAAAAATTTTAAAAATTTTAGAATTATAGTTGCAATTAGTTTTTTTTTTTACTGATTTAAATAAAATGATATATTCGTTATTTTCAATGTTTTTAGTGGTAAAATAGATTGTACTGGTTATTTCATCAGTTTCAATAGATGAGGGGGTTTTGTTCACCGTGTCTAATAGGTGGGGGATTTTGCCATTTGTATTTTTTTCTATTTTCCCCTCTTTATTGAAACTAGTCAGAGTTGAATGTGTATTATACGTTATTCTAAAATACATTATAAGTATTATGAAAGCATTATTTTGAAAGAATGTATTTTGGAATAGTAGATTGATGGAGAATGTGTGGTTGAAAAGGAAGGAAAAATTATTAATGTGATGGAAAATATTATTTTATTAAAAACTGTATGGTTGAAAATGAGTTTTGAAATAATGTGTCAAACGGTGACTGAAAGAATTTCTCTATATACAACGTTGTTAGTACATGTCAAGTGTGAACTTTCATTAGCTGAGGGCTTAAGTAAAACTTTTAGTCTTGCTTGTCTTAGATCTTGATAATGTTATATAAAGTTGATAATGANCAAACCTAACCAACATGATCGGTTTGATCATAATTTAACCAAACTCTATCCGTGTAAAGGTTAAAACCCAACCCAACCCAATCAAGTATCGGTTGGGTTGATCAGATTGGAATAACTTGTCAACAAAGACTAAAGTAGGCGGGTCGAGTTGGATGGATTTATAATTGACTCATGATTTATATAATATCTGGTCTCCATAGTTGTAATGAACAAAAAAATCTGAATTATTTTGACACTTCATGCCCGAAAATGTTACTTGGACAAATTGATATTAAATTATACGAAGTCAAGAAATGTTTTTTACAATTAAAATGTTTTTGTGTTGAATGTGTATTTCTTATACTATTTTTTGTAAAATGCATTATATCAAAATCTTATAATATTATTTTAAGAGTTTCCAAATAATATCATAACACTTGTAAAGTTCATAAATATAGTCCGGTTGAGTTGAGCGGGTTTATTTTGTTTTTATAATCCAACCCGACCCGCCTACACAATCAACTCACCCAACTCGTGTAAAAAAAAAAAACCCAAACCTATCGAATTGGGTGGTTTTGGCGGGTTTGGTCGGATTTTGCTCATCCCTAATCTCAAGATTCATCAATTCAAAATTCATTGAGTTTAGGTTAATGTGAATGTTAATTAATTGAGAATTGATAACATAAAATTCATGTATGACAAAAAAATTGTAGTATTTATTACATATTAAAAAACGGAAAGTAAGGTATTATTGAAATAATTGAATTGTAGTAAAGTTAAAATCGTCCAAAAAATGATATATTATTATTATTATTATTATTATTACAGTAGAACCGACTAAACATGTCGACATGAGGGTTTCCGCACAAGAGATTCTAAGGCACCGTTTGGTAACCATTCTTTTTCTCATTCTCATTCTTCTATTAATTTTCAACCACACATTCATCAATAAAATAATATTTTTCATCACATCAATAACTTTTTCTTCATTTTCAACCACAAAAAAGGTGTAAATTGACACAAAGAATACATTTTTTTCTAGAATAATGGTTACCAAACGGTGCCTAAATAGGGAATTTCTGGGGTTGTTTAAGCTTAGCTGAAGTTATTTTTTAGCCAAATTTCTTATAAGTTTTATTATAAACAATCACNAAAAAAAAAAATGTGAAAGCATTCGATGCTTGGCGTCTTCAATGGGCATCGTACTGGTAGTTGGAAATTGAAACCAACTGCTGTACGAAACAAGAGCCAATGAGAATAAGCCACGTTGGCAATTCAGCGACCCTACGGCGTGATAAATCAACTTGGCATTCCACTGTCTGACCATTTCAATTCAAATTGCTGTAATGACTCTAATTTGAAGTGGACCCCACGCAAGTCTGACAGATATAAATGTTATCTCTTGACCGATTGACTATTTTGCCCTTGTCTATATTTGGTTTATAGATAATTCTAGAATTATTTAGTTGTAGTGGTAATCGAAACTTACTTCTTTTAATTACCATTTGCCTCCAAATTTAGAATATTCATTGTTCACTAATATTGTGTTGACGGACTCAAAATTTTGATTGACTATTTTGCCCTTCTTTATATTTTGGATTGGTCTCGTATTTTGACTGCCTCAGATAAATTTTTCTTAATTAAGTAATCTAGAAAGGTTGACATTTGCCCTTATTGTCGTGTTTAGAGAGTTGCGGGTCCAATATGTGATTAAAAATTAGCTGTTGATTTTGACTTATATTTTAATTAATTTTTTTGACTGAACGGACATGGCTCAAAGATACGGTCTCTATTTTGTAGGGATTAAAATCATTTTTTTTAAAGTAAATTTTGGTAAATGTTGATGAAATGTGTGATTAAAAATTTGTGAATTTAATAAAATATATTATTAAAATTAATTATTGATATTGATTTCGGAATAAATCTTTACTGTTATTACCCCGCCGAGAACAAAGGACGGGAAGGGTAATAATCTGATGGTCAAACCTCAAAATGCATTAATTATAATAGTATTACTAAAGTCATAAAGTGGATTACATTAACAAAAAAACAAAGGGACAAAATAGTCAACCAAATCGGCCGACGACTGACGGGGACACACTGCACCACTGCGGGGTCGGCGGACCGACTTAAAACCCACGCTCCATTTTTCAAACCAGATATTTCTCCATTACTACACAGAGGAAAAAAAAAAAGGGAAAAGGAAGAGGAAAAGTCAAGAGATCGCTGATTAATCCGTGTATCGTGTCCCCCATTCTCATTTTATTAATTCAGCGGATTGAATTGAATCCAATCGTCCACCCCACGAGATTTGCCACGCGGTTCTATTAAAACTTACAAATTGCACGCTTTCATCTCATCTCACTTTCCCAATTCTTCGAAAATCTGTTTCAATTGGTAGGCACTTGAGTTTATCAAATTCAAGATTTATTAGATGATTAAGCTATTTTTATGATTGTTAGTGTGTTATTGTACAATTATTTTTTTCTCCATTTTTGGTTCCATTTGAATGAGTAAAAGTATAAGTCGAGTCCACATTTTACTGATTGTTTTCTTTTAGTCATCCGTTAATTGAAAGTTTGAAACTGAATTTCGGTCCTTTTCCGTTTGTGAATAGTTGTGAGAATTTGATATATACAATGGGAGGAGCGTGTTCTGGAGGAACGGTTAAGAAGAAGACGAGTGATAAATCATTGGAGGTTGAGCAGGAGAAGGCTTCAGGGTTTTCAGGAAAGCTCAAGTCAATGGGGAATATCGGAAAGAAGAAGACTGATGATTCTTACGCATATCCTGATGAAATGGATAATTTTGAGAAGGGACAGCCAAATCTATACGACTCTGGTGAGCTCTACTTGTCGATTTCAAGAGAATTGAAGTCATCAACCCCCGCTAGAACACCAGCAACAAAGGTATCTATAAACTGTATAAAAGGATGCGTTTATGTTCTTTTTCCTTTTTCTCTTAATAAAAAAACTGTGATGCTGTGGAAATGAGTCTTGGAGCTTGCTTCTGAAGAGTTCACAGGACGATTAGGTGAATTTGTGCCGAGAGAGAGAGAGAGAGAGATTTATTGAATGAATTGTGGAATATGCTTTTGGTGTTGCAGATCATTGATTGAAATTGAATTTGGAAGAATTAGAATGAAACTGAAAGGAGATTTGATATTAGTTTGCACTTGTGGTGCTGTACTATGAAAAAATAAAATTGGAGGTTTCAAAGTGAAAAATCTCTTAAAATAGCTGCTAAACTTATCGGGCAGGTAAAAATTCGGTGGGTATGAAATAGTTTACATGAGTAAATGGAGTAATTTTGGCAAAGATTATAGTGCAGCAGTTGGAGACATAGTATAGATTAAAAGAAAGAGAGAGAAAAGGAGAAAAACTGCATTTAATATGTTGTGTAGTTTTTCGTTATTTCAGGAAGGACCTTGAGCAGTTCCAGATGGTCTTCACAAACAATGTGGACTTTCTGTTTAACATGACATGCAATAATTAAAAAATCCTGGAAAAAGCAATCAATGAGAGATGCTACTTCTTCATAAACATGATTTGTCCTTTCACTTCACGGAACTTTGTTCCAGAAACAGATGCAGGTTACGAACATTGCCTAGCTTTTATGTTCTGCTCTGAGCAGATCATTTGCAAAAATGTTCGAATTTGCAGGGTATTTAGCATTCCACACCTATTGCTGTGTTCAGAGCCAGTACTGCCAGAATTCCCATTTTGCTCTTGCTATTCCTTTATATGATAGATAAATATGTGTGATGTCACTATTTGAATAAGCATTGTCCATTTCATTAATCACCTTCTTTTCCTGGGAATGAACCAAGGAGAAAGAACTCTTCTGAAAGATGGCATCCTGATAATATGTTAAGGCAAGTTACTTATTATGACAGGCACCTCAAGTGAGCTCATTTCTTGGGAAGGCTGGCATTGTGGGCCTAGAGAAGGCAGTGGAAGTTCTAGATACACTAGGCAGCAGCATGACAAATCTGAACCCTGGTGGATTTACAACTGGTGTGGCTTCTAGGGGAAATAGAATATCTATACTGGCATTTGAAGTTGCCAATACCATTACCAAAGGTGCAAACTTGTTGCAATCTCTTTCGGACGAAAATATCCAATTTCTGAAAAAGGAAGTTT